TTTCATCCTGTCCTGATCCTCCATGCAAAAATAATATGAAAGTGTGTAACACATTTAAGTCTTGCAAATGCATTATCTGCAACTTACACTTTGCGATACCATTAAAATGTAAAAGAACATATATCCAGATGAGCCAGTCTCCATATATATGATAGTACATGACTGACTGTCTAGCAGATGGAAAATCTACTCTTGAAAGACATGTTTTCAAATTCTTGAAGTGACTTCAGTGGACAAAATTTACCTTTGTTAATATCTCTGCACACTTAGAATATTCTGAAAGGAACATACACATTTGCTTCATATTTTACGTGATGTCTTTCATCCTTTCTCCCGCCTATGTCTAGGAACATTTTTAGAAGTGAGAAACATTGAATTCTTACCAGAGCAATTTTTGACCTGTCCTTTGTTAATCTGGGTACCTTGTGAACAACTGTTCTTGTGTTCTTCACTCTCACAGGCATCTTTCACGTGCAGATTAGAAGTCAAGGGCCAGTGAGTACCTTACACCTCCCAGTACAGAGTCTTGCATAATGTGATCTTGGTCTTGACAGGCCATTATAAAGCACTATAAAGCACGGCTACTACTATTAAAATGGAATATACTGGAGGAAACAATAAGGCTGAATGAATGAATAGCAGCATTATGACAGTTACACATCTGATAGTTCCAGATAGAGATATTGTAAAAACTCTGTTCCACGTTAAATCAAGTAATAGATTTTAAGCAGAAAACAGTCTAGTCTAACACACTGCGTATTATACGCCACAGAACCACACCCAGTAACTCAGGCATCACATGCATGGATATCAGAATGAAATAAGGAAAGGATGGATAGTCTCATCTCTTAAATTATGTCAAGATAGCAGGAAGTTTTAAATTCTAGTCTTGGTCCTTCCACTGACTTGAGAAAGTAGTATAATCAGTTTGCCTGAGTGTCACTATTTAAAAAGTCAGAGTACTTACTTATCCCACAAGGATACTGTCAGGTTTAATTAATTATGGCTGTAAAATCCTTTCTAAATGAAAAGTGGCAAGCATGATTTATCAATTAAGTCTAAAACACCACTGCAGAATCAGAGACTGATCGCTGTTTTATCAAGAGCATAACATTTCTCATAAAATACATTTCAAACGGAAAATTATATTAACAGCCTTTTTGACTTATTTAGACTTTTTTGTGAGGAGCAAGGCAATAGACTTTTGATGAGTTCTAGGAATAGAAGTGTAATCAAGAAAAGAGATACAGGAACACTCGCCCACTGACATTAATGTGGCACTAGCTAAATGGTGTGGCATAAATCACGGGAAAGGGGACTATGTCCCTAGCACTGCTGTAGGACCAAGCTGAAAGAAAACTACTCCTCTACCTATTAGATGTCACTTGCTTGTAGTCTGACTATGTGCAAGGATCTGTGCGAGTCACCTAGGTATAGCCACCCAGAACTGAGTATGGCATGAGTAGCCCAAAACTACCTGTAAGGTGGCAATGCATGATCTACAAAGGGCCTGATTTATGTCAGTATGACTCTACTGCTGTCAGCTTTCATGCTCACAGGTGTATCACAGCTATAGCATGTATCCGCAGGCAGAATCCAGGTGTCAGTTACGAATGACAGCTGTCATTGATGCACACCTCCTCTCGGGGTGCAGTGGGCCCTCTTTTCCCTACGATGGCAGCTATGTTAGCTAAGGTACTCCTTGCAGGGAAATTATAATTCAGTCAGTGCTCACTAGGGCCAGGAATGCATCAGCACAGATGTAAGAGTAGTTCGAAACATTCAGAAGAGACATGGATCAAACGACCTGTGAATTACACTGATTCAGCACATCTACTGGACAGTCCTGTGGCCCAACTCTTTCCTGGACAACTCCACCTATTTGGCCTGTACTGGCAAGCTCCACACCCACGGCACCAATAGCCGGAGTTTCAGAGGAGGAAATGAATCATGCCCTCAGAATGCAACTGAAATCCCACAGACCTAAGAAAATACATATCCATCTGCATTATGTATACGTGCATACTTCGTATATTGCCAATTACATTTCAATCAGATACCGCACATGAATAAAAATACCCAAATCTAGTGGAATTTAACATTAGGTGGCATTCCAAAGATATGGCACGTGATTATAAATGAAACTAGCAGTACCACATGACTTAAAATACGTCAACTGAATTTGGGCCCAATCCAGCACAAAATAACCACAGCTTTTCCAGGCTACACAGACATCAGGTTTGAATGGTCACACTGCAGCAGCGTGACGCATAATTTGGAAGTACCAACTTGTTATGGAAAGACAGTAAGGGATTGTCTAGACTGGGTCAAAATGCTTTGCAAAAACATTTTAGCTAAAATTAATAAAGCATAAGAAAGGGTGGGCGAAGTTTGATTTGTGAGTTGGCCAAGACATGCCCATGGGGAGATCCCCTTAATTAAATTATTACTAATTTGTTTACGATCACGGGTGAAGTCTCCACTTCTGGGTCACGTCACCTCTCTGCCTCTTTGTTTCCCAGCTTCCTCCTTTTTTACCACATCGACTTAAGACCGCCAGGCACAAGAGCTACCTATCCATGCTCACACAGGCCCGGCCAAGCAGCATGGCTCTTCTGCAAGCAAAAAGGGTGGGACAGCCACAGCACCAAACTTTCTGGAACAGTCAAGAAGCTCGGACACAAGCCCCATCTTTTTAAAGCAGCATCGATGCTTAAGGCCTGAATTTAGCTGCAGGCTCTGACATAGGCGCCTATCTCACTTGCTAACAGGGGGTTTTCAGTGTGCCAGGTGCCCTGCTGGCAGGGGAGCCCCCCTCGGGCAGGGGCAGAGCTGAAGTGGGCAGATTATGCCATGAGCAACAGTCCTTGCCCATGCTGCTACTAAACAAAAAGGCATTGCAGGTAACGTCGTTATTTGGAAATAAGGTGACAGGTACACTGTGCTGCAGATCTCAGGGCAGCCCAACCATGTCTTTGCTAGTGTTTGCAACAGTTCCCACCAGAGGCAGCTGGTAGCAACCTACCTTCAAATATTCTCTAGCTGGATGGTTATGTTGAAGACATGGAGGAGGTCTGAAGCCACCAAAGGCGGCAGTAGTTACATCGTCTGGATCGTCATCATACCTCTGCACGCATCCCTTCCTGGAGAGGTAAAGGTGTGCATTTTCTTCTAACCACTTCTTCAGTCTCCTGCTTATGGGTAGTCACCGCATGTCATGAAAAGCTGAGTGTGGCCTCCTGCTCCAGCTCAACTTTCAGCCCGATTTAAAAACATTTTATGTGACTACGTAACAAAACCTAGCCGAAATAGCAGAGTCCGGGGCCTCTCCCCATCCATATGCTAAAATGCAGGTAGCAGGACAAAGAAGCCATAGGGACGGAGTCCATCATCCTGCAAGTCCTTACACGAAATTTGCACCATATTTGATTGGACAATTAATGACTGCACATTTCCATTACATTTCTTACACTTGCAGTGCTTCGCAATGGCAGCACTGCCCCTTCCCAGCTGCCTGAGGTAGTATGAGTATTTCCATTCTCACGCTGCTGCCGCCACCACTACTAAAACGGCAGAGCAGACGAGCATGTTTGGAGCCATGGTCCGTTTTGCCTGCTGTTACATCCTCACAGAGTCGACGTGACAGGTTGTAAAAAGCCTTTACAACCTGGTAGGCTGCACATAGTGGTCTGAATCAGAACGATAGGGCTGTCTCGTGTGGAAAAGGTAAAGCACAGAAACTGCTTCCCAGGACGGCTTCTAGTATCGCTTACACCGGGAGACGGGACATTTCTCTGAGCAGCACGCTCCAGACGAACGGTGCTCAGGGCCATTTCCTAAAACAAGATACCAGGACACTGCGTAAGACCCTGTATGGTGCCATCAGAGCTATTCCCTCCTAGGCAAGGGTGCCATGCTCCAGTGTTTTCATTCCCAAAGACTGGCCGCTAAAAATACCTGGATTCTCATTTAACCTTCCACATCTAAAAATGATAAATTGGGTCCCTAAAAGGTCTGAAACGTCAGACTGACTCCAAAGTTTAAGAAATACAGGTTGCCTTACACCTTTCAGGTGTAAAAATGACAAATTTGGTCCCCTAAAGGACTGAAACATCAGACCGACTCCAGAAGATCAGAAACACAGGTTGCCTTAAGTCCGGTTTGAGCCTCCAGCCCTTAAAAAAACCCAAAAACAACCCAGAAACCCAGTCAACGAGGGAATCTTTTAAAACTCCAATGAAGGAAAAAGAGCGAGCAGCAATTAGCAGCCCAGTCAAACCACCCGAGGAGAGAGGCAAGAGACCTCGCGCGCGCCGCCAAACCTCAGGG